TTAAAAATATTAAATCATTGAAACAATTTGAAAGTGAATTGGTGAGAAAATTAGAAGATAAGAGGCATTTCTTCAATAACTATGATGACAATGAAATGACTGAATTTGAGAACGTACGTTTTGTAATTAAAAAATGATCGTTTTGTGTTTAATCGAATCCTGTAGACCGTGCCTATCACGGAATGAGATAGACAGAAGCACAACCGACTGTGCTATCATCTAAACTAGGGTTGCGCCCCGAGCCTTCGGGGTTGAAAAAGTCGGGGGTCGGGGTTTTCGGGGTTGACAAAGTCGGGGTCGGGGTCGGGGTTGCTCAAATTGTTCGGGGTCGGGGTCGGGGCTGAAAATGATGTCGGGGTTCGGGGTCGGGGTCGGGGGTCGGGGTTGAAGTAAAAATTTACAAAATCCAGCATTTTTATCCAACATTACTGTTCAAAATCAACATTTTCATTAAAAAATGAGAATGTTGTGACTTATAGGGGTTTTTTTTGGCTGGACCGATTTGGTCAAATGAGGTGTCATTCGAAAGAGCTCGCCGAGCTGAGTCGATTGAGGGGCGAGTGGAGCCGATCCGACAATCAGGGACCGAGATACAGACCCCTGAAGTTTGAAAAAGAGAAGGGGGGAGTAAGCTCACTTTGGGGTGAAAAATTCGAAAATGCAAATAATAGCTCATTCGACCCCCCTTCTCTTTTTCAAACTTCAGGGGTCTGTATCTCGGTCCCTGATTGACTCAGCTCGGCGAGCTCTTTCGAATGACACCTCATTTGTCCAAATCGGTCCAGCCAAAAAAAACCCCCTATAAGTCACAATACCCAAAAATGAACTTAATCTTCATTATCTTCACTTTCTGTATCTATTTCCTTATTAGTTGAAGGCGCAAGAAGTACTTTATCCAAGTTATCCTTTATAATCCCGAAAATCCCCAAACCCACAAAATAACTCTTACTCCCCCTCTTATGTAAAGGGATTGTCCTAAAGCCTCTGTATCCATTCATTGAGTCTAGCGCCGCAGGCAAAAACTTTGAGAATTTTGGAAGGTCAAGAGCCAGATTTCTTCCATTTTCTGCGCCGCAGGCAAAAATTTTGAGAAATTTGGAAGGTCAAGAGCCAGATTTCTTCCATTTTCTGCGCCGCAGGCAAAAATTTTGGAAAATTCATGACTAGTTTAATATTTCTAATATTGTTTCAAGTTTAAAATATTAAAAAAAAAATAAAGTTGCAAATTTAAAATCAAGATCAAAGTTTAAAAATATTTATTTTTGAGAAGAAAAATCTTCTCAGCCTCATTCCCATCCATGGATTCGAACAACATCCCTATCAAAATAGCTAAATGGGTGAAGTCAGTTAACCTAACCTCACAACCACCGACCAACAAAAGGAAATAGGAGAAAATATAAATATTCCTTTCCCTTTTCCTTCATATATTTAACATCAAAGTCCCGATCCCGTTCCGATCTCTTGTTAATTAATGCAGTTTGAGTCGGGGGCATAAAAATTTTTCGGGGTTCGGGGTCGTCGGGGTCGAACTTTCGGGGGTCGGGGTTTTCGGGGTTGGGAATGTCGGGGTCGGGGTCGGGGTTTTAGGTCAAAAAATGTCGGGGTTCGGGGTCGGGGTCGGGGTTAGTCGGGGTCGGGGCGCAACCCTAATCTAAACCGATGAGGGTTATTTTTATTCATGTTTATTTGCAAGTGCGGAAAACGTAAATGAATAATATACTGAAAGTTAGGCCAGATTTTTAAAAATACGATAAAGATATCCAGACTTTGATCATTTAAATCTAAGGCAGTACGTTCACTACGTTCAACTGCTTTAATGCTAAGGGGGACATTATATTAAACGATTTTTAAGCTGGTATTCCCTTAATTTTATTACATATGTTTTTCAAATCAAAAAAGTCAGGAAGCAAGAAAGTTATCCGGGCTCTTGTCCAGTTTATGCGTCCCATGAAAGTATATGCGTCCCATCAACAAAAAATTGGATATTTCTTGGTGTTGCAAAGTAGGGGTATGGTTCCAAAGCATTTCTTCATGTTCGGTACCTCGCCCACTGGGTCTGGGACCGTTCCTTACACTATCCTTCGAAATTTCTGAAAGTTATAGCCAATTTTTAAAAATTTCAGAAAAACGATTTTAACTTTCAGAAATTTCGAAGGATAGTGTAAGGAACGGTCCCAGACCCAGTGGGCGAGGTACCGAACATGAAGAAATGCTTTGGAACCATACCCCTACTTTGCAACACCAAGAAATATCCAATTTTTTGTTGATGGGACGCATATACTTTCATGGGACGCATAAACTGGACAAGAGCCGTTATCCGTCCTAAAGTTATCATAATGGCCTAACATTTCACATAAATCTATGCTTCTGTTTAGGGTCTTACACTATTATTAATTTAAGGAAGTAACGCAGCTTGAATTTGTAAACAAAGCTATTGATAATGGAATTTTACATGTATTATATGCCAAAGAATTTTGTGGAAGCATCAAAAAATTGTATAAAAAAGAATATCATCAATTGCTTCAAGGATTTTGCCAACGTTATGCAGAAAAACTTGCAGATATAACGCTTGATTTTTGCGGAATTAAGTTTGAAGATGCTGATGCAAAAGCTTTAGTTAAATACAATCCGTGATTGTTTAAGAATTATTTCTGTTGGGTGCTCTATTCTGATTTTTTGTTCATTTTTAAGTACCATCCGGGGCTACCAGTAAAGCAGCTGGACTATAGCTATTTCTCTCCTTCAGCTAGTGTTATAGGTTATTAGGCGACTGGAAGCGAACCAGCATCTTCAGTAGACATGAATGATGTGTGCACAGCCTGCTTTACCTACATACGTACATGCTTTACCTACATATTTTACCAATTCACCTAAAAACATAATTTAAACCTTTCTTATCAATTTGTTTTAAATATTCGTTTTCTTGATTGTAAATTCTTTTTTAAAAGTTTCTTTACTCCAAAATATCCCCTCACAAACAATTGTTTCCCCTTTTATCTAAACATTTTTTAAAAATTTTCAATCACCGCCCTTTTGATAACCGATAAATATTTGTTTGTTTTCATTAATTTTTTAAAATTAAAGTAAAATCACTTTATGCGGTTTTTAAATTCGAAATCGGAGCCCTGAAAGCCCTAAAAAGATTGTATTTACTACATATTTGAGTTAAATTAAGCTTAAAATAATTTAAAAAGAAACCTCAAATAGAAGTTGAGAGAAAATCCTAAAGAAATAAACAAAGTAAGAAACGGCACTCAAGTAATTTCTAAATAATTTTTATCTTACTTTAACGAGTAAACATAGAGTAAAAAATTACGATTAAAGTTACAAAGTATTAAGTATCCCGTATACATTTAAAAGAAAAAATAAGGGAAGCGAGTATTTTTTAGAGCCTCAAGTGAAAATACAGTGTGGGTATTGGCCATTAATTGACTCCGGCTCCGAGCTTTTGAAATCTTGGCTCTGGCTTCGGCTCCGACGAATCCGGGCTCCAGTGCCAGCTCGCGGTGCCATACACAGCACTGGTTATATAAGAGAATTAGAAGATATCGGATATTTGAGTGAATTATTTAAGTTGAGGGATTCGGAGGGGGATTCATCTATTGCCTACAGTGAATTGCCTAAGGCAAATAGAAAAATACAGTGCTGGGATGTAAGAAAAAAGAGGTCACACAGGCTTAGCTTTTTCCGATATCCTGCAAACCTCTCTGCGCCGCAGGCGAAAATTTTAAGAATTTTCAAAGGCCAAGTAGCCAGATTTCTTCCATTTTCTGCGCCGCAGGCGAAAATTTTTAGAATTATAGGAATTCAGTGGAAATTTTGACTTGTTTTTTCGTTTTTTTTAATATCAAAAATAAATTTCGAGTATAAAATAAAAACCTAAGTTTAAGCTTAGTTTAAACATTTTAAGTAAAATGAAGTTAGGAGGTATTTAATCGGCATTTTTCTAAAATGGAATGTTAGGTTTCAGTCAATAGAAATTTTTTTTTAACTTATTTATAAAAAATAAATCATAATCAGTTAATTAAAAATAGACGATCCTGACCAGTAGGAGGGGGACACCTAAGCGATACCTTCTATTTATATACACCCATTATAAGCTTCAATGCTGTTTTTAGTAAACTGAAGAGAGTTGTAAGAGATTAAAGATTGTTATCCGAAAACAATTTTTAAAATTTAAAAAAAAAATTTTTTATGAGGTTTTGCATGGAATAACGTTACATGCCAACATTCTAACTTACCGTATTTACTCAAATAATTACCCTCTCTCAAATAATTACCCACTCCCTATTAATTACCCCCTCCAGCGAGAGGTCGAAACAATAATTACCACGGGTAATTATTTCAGTAAATACGGTATAATGTTTGAGAGAAATAGATGATTATAATAAAACGGATAAATTAAACAGAAACTCAAATGAGATGGGTAAATACCTGATTTAAAATTAAAAAATAATTTTAATAAAAGTATTTTGGTAATGATTGATAATAAAAAGCATTTCGCTACCATCAATTCCCGCTTCTCCCTAACCAGCCGGCAATCAACCCCCTACCTAAAGTTTTGTTTTAAAAATATTAATAAATTTAAAATTATTTAAAAATTATTTTAAAAATTAATTTTTGGCCTTTTAAATTTTAATATGCCTTTGGCCATAAACAATGAAGGGCAGCTGATTTTGAGTCATGCGAGAAGTCACTGCCAAAAGTCATGCCTTAAAGGGCAATGATTTTTGGCCGGCTATAAAAAAATTTTTTTTTCATTGTCTTCGAAGGGAGAGAGAGGGGGAATAAATTTTTAGACAAAGGAAACATCTGATTTTGGGCATGTCTGAAAAAATTTCTTTGTCTAAAGTCATGCTTAGACATTCACATGTAGACAGTCGAAGGAATGGGAGGAGTGGAAAATGCTGGTTTTTATAAAGGGAGCAGTCAAAAGCCATAATGTAGTTTATTAAAAAGTTTTAAAAGCTTCTAGAAAATCAAAACCCGTCTAAAAAGTCAAAAACCGTCAGTCAAAGCCAAAACCGGCTAAACATTCCAAAAGGCTAAATATGAAAACCTTTATAGCATTGGTTTTCCTTTTATTAAAATTTTTCGATGTTTTTGCTGTTGATCCCCCTCAGGGACAGTTGAGTGTTGAAGGTAGTTTTAATAATAAAACTTTGATAAAGTTTTTTAACAGGAAAGAAATTGTTGGGTAATGGGAAGCCTGCTGCCCTTCATGGAATGTCTCTATTCCAGTCAAACTACGAACCAGGTTTCCCTTTCTATAACGAAGAAGTTGTCAGAGCATTGAAATGCCAATGGAATTCTAATGTTGTTCGAGCTGCCATGGGGATAGATGAAGGTGCTGAAGCTTATATGCAGGGCCCAGAACCAGAACAAACCCAAAAAGGGCGAGTTGAAAAGGTGATAAAAGCAGCTATCGAAGTAGGAATTTATGTGATAGTTGATTGGCACACACATAATGCTCTGAGTCAGGAAGTAAAAGAGGTACTAGTTTGTTGATATTTTGGAGGTTAAATTCAAAATAATTGATAGCAGAGTTCAGCGTGGTCGGTATCCCAGCCCTGGTTTTTTGAATCCGGATCCCGATTTTTCAGATCCCGAGACCCGGTTTTGAATGAAAATCAGATAGGTAATAAATAGTCTATCTAGACCGACCAGTAAAGATCGAATAGCCGTAAAAATAAATACTGTAATTCATTAAACAGAAAGAATTCTTCGAATACATTGCAAAAACTTATGGTAAAGGCAACAAAAACATAATCTATGAGCTTTTTAACGAACCAACTGGTGGTGACAGTGATTGGCCCGCAATGAAGGTTTATCAACAAAAAATTGTCGATGCCATCCGTGCAATTGATCCCGACAATTTGATCCTTATTGGCACTCCAACTTGGTCCCAAGGTGTTGACACTGCTTCTAAGGATAAGCTTACTGGAAAGAATCTTTGTTATGTTCTTCATTTCTACGCTGCTAGTCACAAAGGGGAATTACGTGCGAGAGCTTCAACTGCACTTGCTAATGTAAGTGATTATTTTATTAGCCACTTAAATAAAATTTTGCCCTATAAAATAAAGACAACTCTCGATATAATGAACCCTCAACTTAATGAAATTCGATTAGCGAAACATTTCACCCTTCACCACTGCTGGGTATGGCTCCGGGAGCTAGCTCCGGAGCCCGGCTCCGGAGCCGGAGCTGGAGCCGGAGCCAACAAATGCAAAAACCCAGCACTGCCCTTCACTGACTAAAATTCCTCCATAAAATTTTCACGATATATTCAATTCTAGGATACCTGTATTTTTGTGTCCGAGTATGGTACTGTAAATGCTGATGGAAATGGAGCTGTGGATGAAGGTTCGACAAAGGAGTGGTGGAAATTCTTGGACGAAAACAATATTTCCTACGTAAACTGGGCCATTGAAAACAAGGATGAAGGGGCTGCAGCTTTAAAGCCAGGCACTCAAGCTTCTCAGCTTGGTGTCGACGAGCGTTTGACTACATCTGGAAGCTTGGTTAAAAAACATCTTTTAGGGCAGGATAACGGTGAGTAAATGGAATTTAAATTCTACTCGAGAAAACTATAAAATCATTTAGGTGTCAAGTGCGACGGTTCATCGACAGGTTCCACTTCGCCTGCTTCAACTAGTCCAACTTCTAATGGGCCCAAATGATCTGATATAATTGAGAGAGGAAAGAAAAAGAAGAGGAAGTTCAAAGTAAAACCTGAAGTTCATTGTACATATTCCCTTGTATATACCTACTATATCTAAACAATTTACTCCCTTCGACGATGCGTGGCTAACAAACCAAACAACCTATGTATATAATCCTCACTTATGTAAATCCTTGTATATATTTACCTCAAATTTAACCATGCCTTTTCATTTTGTGTAAAATTTACACTGTTATTTTTTAATTTGTAATTTTAAATTGGGATTTCAGTAAGGCTCAGTTCTATGTAATTTACAACACAAGTGAATTAAGTTTGGATACGACCTTCACAGTCTCTAAACATTGAGAAAAAGTCTCCTATATGTATAGAAACTTTATTGAGAGAAAGAGAAGGAATTAGAGGAAGCGTTAAATATCGCGAAAGCTTTGGAGCGATTTCTAAGGAACCTTCTTGTTGTGGACGTTGGCTAGTTGAGAGAAGCCGGTATTGAACGAAACGTTGTTTTTTTTTTAGAAACTAGGCTTACAAACAACTTGTGAGTTGTTGTTATAAAAAAGGTTAAAAGTTGATCGAATTTTGGTTAGATCTAGTTGGATCTCTCTAAACCTTTCCCTCCTCTCTCAATCCCTCAAGCTCTTTATTATTTTTATTCTTAGTCCTATGTTTAAATCTATACAAAATTTTTATTCTAAAATTTTAAACTAAATAGCTAATACATAAATAATTTAATTAATTGAATTTCCTTCTAAATTACTTTCCTCTTCTGGCGGGCAAAATTAAATAATTTATTTAAAAACAAATTTCCGTCTCCACATCCTGTTGATTTTAAAAATTCTTTCTTGTTGTTTATATTAGTTAACTCAATCCTTTGTTGTCCAAATCCTCCAGAAAATAACTTGTAATTCTTCGTTTTTTGTTCAATTTCCCCCTCCTCATTGTCCACCACTGGAACTTGATATCCCTTCTTTTCAGCACACCCATTTGCTGCTAACGTCCAGTCAACGTCTGTTTGTTCCATATAAATGGGTAATAAATATTCTCTGTGAAGGAGACATTGACCTGTTGGGGTGTGGAATGAAATTGTCTAAAAAATTAAATAATTTTGAAGGTCATGTGGAGAACAAACATAGCATTCTGATTGATTTAAACAAAGCCCCATACATTCTGACAAGTTTTGTATACCGTCAAATACCCCAATCGGTATACATCTAGGTTGGAAACGTTGTTGTAGACGAACATCGAAAGGAGTTGCTTCCCGACAAGCTCCAAACCGATGGGCTGATTTTTTAAACATTTTTTCAAAAGATAAATAAATTCTCTTAAAATACCAGGAATACACCATTTTTCAGCATAAAGCCCTCCATCTACTTGTTGAAGCCTCATTTCTATATCAGATGCTTCTCTGTGTAAATAACACTTTCCTCCACCCAAAACATGGCTAAATCCAGCACAATTGTATTTAAGACCATCAGGCCCCTTTATAAAAAAATTTTATTAAATATAATATTTTTCTCTTCTAAACTTCGTTTTCTACACAAAAATTAGCACATTCCCGTTGGGACCACCCTGGAAATTCTTCAACCCTTTCATCTTCTCTTTGGCCAGCTGGAAATACAAAAAAGCCCGTTGGTTTCCCTTTAGCTATACAATCTAGTTCATTAGAAACATATCCACTAACATCAAGTTGATCAAGTAATGAAGCTAATTCGTGCTCTTCTAATGCCTTTTCTCTTAATAAATATTATATTATACACTATTTAGTATCAAAAATTAATTCTTTGGTTTGCTTTAATTAATATCTTACATTCCGTAAAATAAGGTTGTCGGATAGTTGAACCGAAAATTCCGTATATCCGGATCCTGATATCACTCGATATCCCCCTTGATCCACTTAAATTCCCAGAATACTATTATTCATTGATTTTCCTTTTTTGAAAGCCCGGAGCCGGAGCCAACAAATGCCTTATACCCAGCACTAATACAGACCTTTATTTAAATCTAAGTAAATAAAAGCTACTCTTCTTGAAGTGTTTGAGTAGTTTGTTGTGTTGTTGGTTTCAAAATTGGTGGTTCATCCACTTCCTTTGGAAGGCTTGGGGCAGCCAACACTTTTTTCTTTGCTTGCAATGACGCTCGAAGTCGTTGTAAAGGTCCTAGATAATTTTTAAACTTTTATTTATTCCTCTCAAATTTTACTAAACCTGCACATTCTTGTGTGCTAGCTGTCCTCCTATAAAGGTCAAAACCGTTTGCGGGGTGTATAATAGCTGGGACCTTTAAATTTTTCTAAAATTTAATTTTTGAAATTTCTTCTACTTCTCTTCCATCATGAGAATATAAACGGCAGCTATGTTGTAAATGATCGTAAACAACTGAACGGCATAAACCTGGCTTAAAGATTAACAACAAAAGAATTTTAGAAAATAATTTGACAAACATTTTTTTGTTCGTCCCCATTTCCCGTATGGGCAACACATTGAGACAAACATTCTAATGGATGTGTTCGAAATATTTCAGTTAAGGGTTGAGAATTATCAATTGAATGCCTCTCCAATTTTTGGAAGCAACGAGCATCTGAAATTTATTTTTTATTTTGCTACTCTGTCCCATAGTCGAAAGCTTGAAGAAGAGCCAGAAATTCCGTTTATAGAGAATCGGGATGATCACGACTCTCAAATTCTGAACTATACACAAAATTAGAAAGAAAACAAAAAAATATTCAGAATAATGTAATCATCTGATGAATCTTGCTGTAAAAACTGTTTTTATAATAATTCGAAGGGTTCGAAGGCTTATTTACATGATGCCGTGCTCACTCCACTTGCGCTTTTATTGAACTCATTTTCATCTTAATCATAATTTAAGAAGCCGCCTTTATCATGACTATAATTTTGGTCTATATAACTTTTGCCGATGGAAATAGTTTGCCCGTATATCTACCGGCATTCAAAAATAAAATTTTACTGAAGAACTGGCAATTACATCTTTTTAACGCATTACCGACAATTTATTTAACGAAGTAATAACAAACTAAAATATATTAAGTAAAATTGGAAGTAAATATAATAAAATCATAAATTAATACTTTTATTTTTGTTATGTCTAAACTATTTTCTATCCTATAGATACTAGTTTCGTTTGGGGATTTGTTGCATGCGCCTCGCGAAAGCTTACTTTTTTTCACAATTTTAGCCTTAAACTTTGGCATGCCTTATGTAGAAACACAAGTTATGCCATCAAAAATTCATTTGCTCAAAATTTTTTTAGGATCATCGAATCAATCCAGTTTTGATTTCATTCGACAAGCTATATTCCCCAATTTTGTTTTCTTAAACTCATAGTAAAAAGAAAAAGCCTCTCTTTCAAATTCGTAAAAATAATGTAAAAAATTTTTTTGTTTAATTAGCTTACATTGAAAGCCAAGTGTTGTTGAAAATATTTCAAAAACAATGCCAAAAAATATATAAAATTTCATCAAAATAATTTCTATTTTTTATTCAAGACGAGAAAAAGATGCGGGAAAATAAAGCTAATCAAACGAAAAAAACATGTTGCTAGTTTAAATTCTTTTTTGGGTCAAGCTAACTAAATTAACCGAGAGTCTATACAAGCTTTGTGTGTTTAATGCTTTGTCGGAGTGATTAAATGATTGATTTGATTGTGAGAATGATTGTTGGGTATGTATGTGGATATACTAAAAGGAGGGTTTATTCATCCGTTAATATTTAATTTCTTGATTTTTTTTAAAGTTGAAATTAAAATTTAAATTTTTAGAATTATTAAACTAATTTTAAATCAAAAAAATAAAGAAGACATTATCTAACTCCATATACATAGTGTCTTTGGATATCCTCAACGAACCAAAAAATACTCGCTCTCTGGTTCTATTCCTAAACGATATTCAACCATCCTCCAATTTCAACTACTCACCAAAGCGAGGCTCTATTTTAGGGTGGGGATCTAATCATTTTTTATTTTAGGAAATACGGTATACTAGGGCATATTCGGTTTAATGTCCTTCGAAATGCGTTCATAAATAGAGTGAAATCTTGTGTATTATAGGATATTGAAAAAGGTGGAAATTATTTAGGAACAAGCAGCAAAAATTTTAATTAAAAATTACTAAATATTTGAAATTAATTGTGATTAAAATTAATTGTGACTATCCCGTAGTACATAATTTGTGATAATTTCTGTTTTAAGATATAATATTCTTATACTCAAATGGCAATCCTCAAATGTCGATCCCCAAATGTCGGTCCTTAAATGTCGGTCCGCAAAAGTCCGTCCCCAAGTGTCGCACCACGGTAGTGTAAATATTTTAGTATGTTGGAGCAAAGCTCTGACAAATTTCGTACTTTTAAGGTGGAATACAATCGAACTCATTGTACCACAAGATTTAAAGAACCTGTCAATATAACAAACCTTACTTCTGTCACTTAGAGTTTTATTTTATCAAGATTCGATTTTATACCTCCCTTTATAAAAAAAAATTGTAAAACTACTTTCCTCTTTTCAAAACAAATCAGCTAGAAAATCCTTATATTTAACCATATACTCAGCCGAGACTGAGTCTCGAACATCGCAACTACTTTTGTATATCACTCCCACATTAGAAATTTTTTATACAAAGAGAGATAACACTATAAAGAAGTCCGATTATACATAGTGTGTTTAATTTTCTTTTTCTTCAGAATTTTCTTCTTCTTGTAAACCACAAAATTCTTTTCGTTTGTAAAGATCATGTCCATTAGCTGACACTTCTCTAGCCCCATTTCCAACAATTTGAGAATATAATTGGCAGCTGGAAAAGTGTTTGTGATAAACCATTATATGGCAACTTTGTATTTTATAACAAAATTGGAGGCAATCTAGAGGTGAAGAATTGAAAAACTCTGCTGTTGGATCGGCATTAGAAAGGGCTTTGTGTGGAGATTGATTGAAACAACTGGCGAGAGAATTGGTCGCTTCTAAAAATTAATTTTTGAAAAAAAATATTCTCAAAATTGAAGAAAACTAAAGATTAGTTGAATAATAAGCAGGCTTGGATAAGGGCTGCACACAATTGAAAAAAAGATTCAGCCTTTTAAATGGCTTGCGTGCAGCCCTGGCTTGGATCTGAAACTTCCAAGCACTGGTAACGAGTATTAGGGAATGTGCTGACACAACTCTTCATCAAACAAAATAGCAATCTTACTCGAGTACTAGAGCTAGATCTTTGCTTTGAATTCTATTTTTAGATAATTATAAACCTTTAGAATTTATAGCTGAATCAGTGAAGCTAAATAATAAGGTAACAAAATAGAATATTAATGTTAAATAATGAAAATGCATAATTAATTAGAAACGCTAAAATTTGAAAAAAAATTAAATATTTATGTTTTATCATTGGCACTCTAATGGCACATTAATCTGATTTTGTTATGTATTACTAATGCAAGGCAAAATCATCACCGGATTGCCGATTTCCGGATTCGTTCGGATTTTTATGCTTTAATCTGATTAAAAGATAAAAAATCCAAATCGCAAAAATGCATATTTGGGGCGTACTCCGTAAAATAAGAATAATAAATAATACATATTTTAGAATAAATAGAAGTAAAAATTGGAAAAATCTGACGGATTCGTTCCGGCGCCTGCCACTATCGCACATTATATATTTCCTAAGAATTTTTTTTATTTTGGAAATAAAATTAAAAAAAAAAACAGGCATATGGCATTTATTCTCCTGCATAAAATTTATTGAGGATATGTGACGTTAAACACATTTGATATAAAAAATACAAGAAAAATATATTTATAAAAAACCGCTTTTTTGCGCTTTTTCTAAATTGGGGTCATTTAATTATCCTTTTATCTTTTATTTTTTCCCCAATCTCATCAATGCACGTTTCCCCAATCGCATAATTGCTCTTTTTCTTGGTGTTGCAACTTTTACAAATTCTTGTGGATTTTGACTAGAAAAATGGAAAAAAAATATGAAAAATAACGAGAAAAATTTAGAATTCACCTAAAAATATTTTCATTATCCATATCTGTGGGACGCAACAACAAAGAAGGCCAAATAACTCCATTGCTCATTTTAACAAATGTTGGAGCTAAAATATAAATACTAAATTAAATATGTATTGGTAAAAAATCATAAAAATTTCGCAGTTAAAACAAGAGAGTAACTGGAAGTGTAGTATGAGAATCCGGATCGGAATTTCGGAAAAATAAGCACTTGATAACTGAAATTTTTGTTCGAGATCTCCTAAAACTTGACTCTTTCTTCAGAATACATGTAGGCTTGGAAAGTCATAGGATATTACCGGGAATTTTTAAATAAATTCTTTAAGGGATAATTTGGAAATTATCTGGGAAATATACTTCCCTTCCTAGATTTTTGAGTTAATGGCAAAAACTCAATCCAAATTAAAATAAATTTCCATGAAAAATAATTTTATCTCATTATTCAACAAATTAAATATCTAATTACTAACCGGCGAACATTATAGGTTGAGAGTTTGCGTAGAACAAAAATAAAGAAAGGCAATGTAATACCAATAGAGTTTGTGTACAAGATATCCTTTGATTTGTCATTTTAAAAATTATTTTTAATGCCAAGACTTTTAAGATTAAATATAAAAAACTGTAAAAATTATCATTAAATATAAGAAACAAAAAAATAATGCAAACTGTTCCTTTTTAATGCTCGAATAATTACCCTGGATTAGGGTTGGGGTTTTCGAGTCGGGCCGACGTTCGAGTCATTTTTTTCGGGCCTGCCCGACAGAGTCTTTTTCGGGCCTCATTTTTATCGAGTCGGGCATCGAGTCTTTTTCGGCCCAAAATTCCATTGAAAAATATTAAACAAAAATTAATAATAATGTGTAAAAATACGCGAGAGCTAGTGTCGTATCTATTTTGTGATATAAGGAGTTGAAGGGATAGTAAATTGGAGAGAATCGTGGATTCAATTCGGAGGGATTACGGAGGATATGATGGGATATAAATGGATATAGAAGGAGGGCTGTGAGGAAAATTATTTATTCTAACAAATTTTTTATATGTTAGGTTTTTAAGTGAGGTCCAAAAAACCTGGAAATTTTTTTGGAAAAATTGTCCAAAAAATAAAAAGATCAAAAATTAAAAAAGGGTTATATGTACATAATTTATATATAAATTTATTTGGAATTAGCTAATTAATCTTCTTTTTACTTCAAATTTAGCAAGTTTCAAGTCAACTATTTTTATACTTTTTTATAAAAAAATTATTTATTCTCGCATACTAAATATCATCCCATTTTTGGCAAAAATTTATGTAAATTGAAATTAATGTATCTTCCAAACTTTGAGGAGGGATAAAAAAATTTTTCTGAAGGATATGAAGAAGAAGTAAAGAGGAAATAGGAGAAAAATTAAAAGGAAATGCCAAACAATTTAAAGAAAAATTATTTTAAAAAGACAATGACAAAAATTAATTTAAAATGCATATATAAATTATTGTTTGTTATTTTTATTTTTTAGTTGCTTCCGTGACGCTGTAAAGGTTTTGCCATTAAAGTTTTCTGCATCAGAGAATTTTTAAAAAAATTATTTTGGTATTAAATTGTATATAAAATGATGAGAAGTGGAAATTAAAGAAAATTAATAATTGGAAAAATTAAAAAAAAGTTAAGCCTGTCTATAAAATTGATTTTTGATGATGTACATTATTTAATGAGGGATTGGATAAATATTAAAGGCAGGTCCTAATTTTGTTATAAAGTCTAAGCATACATGTCAAGCTTGGTTAATAAAGGAATATACTGAAAATCACCTGTCGGAATAGTTTATGAGGATCGAGACGAGATCCGGAATATCAGTCATCGAGAGATCACAATTATTGTACGAACTTTCAGTTCTGCTCAAGTAAAGTTAATAACTTAAAAACTTTCAGGCCAAGTCTCTTCCAATTTTTTCTTTTATGTTGAGTGATTAATTTAGGATAGAGATCCGTTGTGTATTACTACTATACGACTTGAAAAAAAAATTTTTTTTGTTTGTCCAATCATTATTTTTGATAACAGCTAAAGGAGATCGACTGTACACTAGAGATCGAGATTTTTGAAAAGACTGGACCTGTTCCTAGACTCTGGAGTTGATTTCTTGACCTGGACTGGATCATGGGCCTGTAGTTCAGGAAAAACCCGGTCCAGAAAAAGTCAGGAAGGTCAAAATATGCATGGACCTGAACTCTGGGTACAGGAAAAACCCAGGCCTTGGTCCAGGTCTAGCTCGATCTCTACTGTACACATTTTAATAAGTTTTTTTGCAAGTTTAAATTAAAAAAGGAATCCCTCCACATTTATTTTTTATTTTGCTTTTTTATGCTTTTTTTATTCCTCCTTTAATCCATCAAATATTAGAAAACTAATCCTCTCTTCACTATAAGCTTTAATATTTCTTTTTCAATCCATACAAACATTTACATATACTCCATTCCTTAACTTATTGAATACCTTCTTTGCGCACAATTGACATCATTTTCGAAAATAATTTTTGAAAATGAAACAAAACCACCATCAACACCAATCATTTGATCAACTCACAATAGTCTCTTCCTCAACTTTGTCTAATAATGCCATTTGTCTGCCATCTACCGCCAAGAAAACTGTCCGCAGACTTTGCTCGTCTATCGCTAAATTTGGTATGTAAATAAAGGGATGAGATATAGAGTTGTATGGAGGATTAAAGGAAGGGGTTTTGAAACCATCTAGTGCAGATTTTTAATTTAATATTTCAAAAAAATCTCCTAATTTGGAATAGGCAGTATTGAATTAAATATTAGATAAGTGTAAGAAAAATCTAGTGGTAAATGTCTAGGCCAACCTGTCATCAATCAAGAGGGGCAAAGGAGTAAAATGCAGAAAAATGCCTTTTGCAGAAATGCCAATTGCGGACATGTGGACAGCGAGCTGGTCATTTACCAAATCTAGTAAAAGCTAGTAAATCTAGGCAATAAATACTAGAGACCGGACCGAGACGAGATCTCAATTCTCGTACGACACTCCCAGATAAGTCTTTAATAAATACTCCTCCCCAAGGCTGTCTCAAAATAACGATTTTCGACCTTCGATCCCAAATTTTTGAGGATTATTTGTTTCTAAACACTCCCATCTCTAAAATTTATCAAATTTTATAGAGGTATATTTAAAAATTAGGGTTTTAATAATTGTAAGATTCGAAAGTAATAACAAATGCATTTTATTTAAAAAACAAAGGTCCTTCTCGCTCCCCACCACCTCCAATATTTCGCAAAGTGTCAGCACCAGGCTCTGGAAAACAAAGAAAATCTTCCATTCCCTCAGCTTTATTGCCCAGTCTGATTGTGGCAACGGTTGGAGGAGATACACCCGACTCTGGCTTAAGGATGGACTTTGCTTTTGGGCGAACGGGTAATTGGATATTTATTTATTTTTTAGAAAAATAAAATAAATTTTTTAAACTTTAAAATAATGACAAATGTTGTTTTGATTTTAAAAAATGAAAGGGAGGTCAAAAAACTAAATTTTTAACTAGACAGATCAATTTCATTATTTTTATAATCAATTTAAAAATAATCCCTTTTTTTTACTCATTTTATTTTTCTTAAACTTTTTTCCAAATTTTAAAACAATTTTTAATTATCTAAACAGTCTAATTAATTATCCCTACTTGATTTCTCTTGACTTCAAAGTAGAGTTGGACAAAACGATACTGGTATCGGCCAACCCGAGACCGAGACTGACCGATACTCAAGAACCCGATACCGAGACCGATACCATCATTTTAAGCCGAGACCGATACCGAGAAACGATACTGACCGAGACTAACAGTAACTTTTATTTTACGCCAAAAAATACGTGTAAAAATAATTTATTCATTATTTTCATCATCCAACTCATCAGATAAATACTCTTCATCATCTGGATCCGATTCGATTGATTGCTAACATCCTTTTTTAAAAAAATACAATAGTAGGATTTATAGGTAAAATGATTATACACTCTGTTACAAAAGTATATTACATTCGATTACATTCGATATCCCACCGCCTTACATTCGATATCCCTCCAAATCCATTGATTCCCCATAAACACCCAAATCCCTCCAAATAACCCAGTATTGTATTTAAGCCTTTTAATTTTATTAAATTACTGGGACTCAGTTGAGCTAGATAAAAGAGTCGTGCGAACTCAATCGTGAGGGCTTAGATAAATGTTCGGATTTTGTAAGGCAAATAAAGAAGGATTCATCTTTTCAGCGCCGCAGGCGAAAATTTTTTGAAATTCAGAAGGCCAATGGTCAAAAATTCTCAGTTTTATTAAAAAATACAAGAAAATTGGGGTCTTTGAGTCAGTATCGTTTCTCGCCGAGAAATGGACCGAGAATATCGGTATCGGTTTCGAGACCGGTAATGAAAAAACCGAGACCGATATTGGAAAAAAGCCGAGAATCTCGGTATCGGTCTCGGTTTGTCCAACTCTACTTCAAAGTGTCGATCGTACCTTAAGTAATGTCTCAATGTAATCTATAATTTAGGAATGCTTTGAAAACCTATTTTAATTAGAATTTTAAATAGAATAAAAACTTAGTATTTGCATTAACTACCACTAACAGTTGTTCTGAAAAGTGTTGAGTTTGACGCGTTAATTATAGAAATTTTTTTAATCGTTACATAATATAATCTATTCAGTTTAAATTTTATTAATTGTTAGTTTTTATTCATTAGGTGTAGTTTGATTAGATTTTAACTTCTTTGTTTATTTTTGTAAGTCAATTTAGCCATTGACTAATTGTCTTGAGTTTTTGTTCTGCATTTTAGGAACTATCGGTGTACTACTTTTAGTACCTGTTAGTGTTGTGTTGTTATCGGATAATTCACCTATCGTTATTAACACCCTCAAAGGATTTTATTTTTTTATTTATTGAGCAAGCCCCTAGCGCATTTGTGCGATTTTTTATATAGTTTCATTATAATAAGGTAATTATTATCATTAATTAGGCAAATATTAAATTAATATTTTTCTCTTTTAAATTAAAAACACTTTATTAAAATAACTCGTGTAAAAAAATATTTTTATTAATTTATTATTCATATATTTTTTAATTTAAAAGGTAAAATTTTTGCCACAAAGTTTTCTTTTAACTGCGCGTATCTATGCCTATAAAAAAATTATTTTTTTTAATATTTATAAAAGTATAATTCGTCAATTTTTCCTTCCCTCCTCATAAATATTAAATATTTAGTTAAAGCTGTCAAATGCAATTTGTAAGTTAAAAATTTATTTTTTTAAGATAATTTAATTTATTCAGTCAGTAGAGTACTCTTATATGGGTACACCCCAACATACCGCGGGGCCAACCTACCGCCGAGCTATAACTTCGTTCAGAATTGTCGAATCAGGGACACCCTGGTATGGTTCGATGCGCCTCGACGAGCTGAATCGAACCATACCAGAGCGTCCCAAATTAGACAATTCTGAACAAAGTTATAGCTCGGCGGTAGGTTTTCTCGCGGTAGGTTAGCCTGCTCCCCTCTTATATATTGAATATTTTTAAGAGAATTTTTTATTACTTTTTTTCAATCCTTTTTTTTATTTTTTCTAGATTTAATTTACCTCTACATACTCATTTTCTTAAATTTATTTACTAGACTTCTCTTTTTTTTATCCAAAAAATTTTTTTGGATAAAAAAAGTTTTGTGAGTGGGTTTAATCAGGAATTAAGTTAAATAAAAAACTCTTTTTTTATTTTTATTAAATTTCCACCCAACTTTAAAAAGCTCTGTTTCTTTTTTACATACAAAAGAAAGAAGCCTAAAAAATATAGATAAATTATAATTAGGGAGTGGCAAAATATGCACGGAAAATCTGAAAATATGCGCATATATGTATATGCACCGAAAAAGCGCAAAATATGCACCAAAATATGCAAAATTTGCCAAAATATGCACAGATATGCAAATATGCAAGAAAGTACAGAAATATGCAAAAATATGCTATAGGAACCCGGACCCTAATGTTCGTACCAACGTAAAAACACTATTTTTGAGCTTTTAGCCCATGGCATATCAGCATACTCCCTAATTATAATTTATTTTTATAAAATATTTTTAAAATAGTCAAGTAATTTTTGGAATTTTTCAAATGATTGTAAAACAGAGATAATTATAATTTGATTGGGAAAAAGCTTATAACATTCAAACTTTTACTATTGTAAAACAGCCAAATAGTGTGTAGTTGTTTAATAAATATAATGTAACGTTATTGTTACAAATACATATTACACTGTAAAATTACAAATTGTAATTCTATTACTGTAAAACTTGAATTTTACAAATTATAAAATATTTTTTTAATTGTAAATCTTGAATTTTACACAAATACCGTATTTATTCGATTAATTCCCCTGGGGAATTATTTTTTCAATTCCGTCCGTAGCATGGGGAATTATTCAAGGGAGGGGAATTTTTCGAGTTTTGAAATTTGAACGTGTAGTAGGGTATTCGGGGGTGGGGGATTATCGTTTCAACTCATCCGAAGCAGGAGGAATTATTCGAGAGAGGGGATTTAATCGAGTAAATACTGTAGTAAGCTTTAAATTTACAAATTCCATAACATTTTTAATAATTCTAAAACTTGAATTTTGCATATTTTAAAACTTGAAATTTATAAAAGTTAATTATTCATTTTTTATTTAATTCATTTAAATATTCTGAAATTTTGTTTTGTTTCAGCTCTTTTTGTTTTCTTTTCATTTTATTAACGCGCAATCCTTCCACATTTGTGAGTAATATCCTTTATATTTTTTACATTGCCCTTCTTCAACTACTTTTTTTGTCTTTTTTTATTCAATTCATTGCTTTCATCTTCCACCTTTAGTATTCTTCAAATATACACCTCCACATACCTCCTACGCCCCCTCAAATAGCATCGGTGGCACTTTTTCTCTTTTTTTCGGTGAAAAAGGAAAGCAAAAGCATCCTTTACTCAATTCGAACATTATTCTTCTCCCACATTCCCTTTTTTAACTCTTTTTTTATTTTATATTGACCAGACTTTAAAATATATCGAATTTTGTCAGCACCCTTTCCTCTCTGAAACCACTTAATTTTGGGCACATTTGGACGGATTACCTTCAAAAAATACCCAAACGGCTCTCTTCAACATTAAAAACACTCTTTTTTTGGTTCATCCTCCTCAAACAAACACATTTTTTCCCATTTGCGGCCAACCTTCCCAAATTTCTCCTATAGAATTTCTTCGGCATCTGTTGAACAAATAAAGCTGTTTTTGAGGTAAATGGATGGTCTTCCTTTATTTCAATTTTTACAAAGTTCCCCATCTTCATTTACTTTATTTTTTCCTTTCTTTCGCCGTTGGCATTAAACTCGCATTTTAATTACGCCTTTAATGCATAATGGATATCTCGACTAAATTATTTTAATTTTCTTGAGGAAAAAGTCTTTAATGATTTTTTTTGAAATTTTCTAGCAATTATTTCTATTATTAACTGAAAGGAAAATTTTTTAACTTGTGTTACCAATTGTTTTTAAAAATGAAAATTAAATTCAGCTAGATTTAGTATACGGAGGGGGGGGGGCAAAATCAGGCAACCAATCTAAACTAGAGCCCGGCTCGATACGAGATATTTTTCGATATTTGATTTCGATATTTATCAAAAAATACATGTCGAGAGAATTTTTACTTCTTCGATATTTTTCGAAAAATACCGACAGCTCCCTTCGTCCGGGCTCTTTTTAAACAAATAGACTCATGGCTTTACATACCTATTAGTAATTAATTTGAGTAAGTTGCGGTTTCAGGAATTTTTTGGTTTATCGAAACAAACTCGAAAATATTCAAGGTTCCGGTTTGGTTTGAATCGGACAACCTTATTATTTATTAACTGCTAATTAGTTTGTCCTATAAGAGAGTTTGACTTTTATCTTTAGTTATTGTTTAGAGCTAATATTAATATGTAGTCCTGTGTATATTTTTCATTCTTTAAATTTTAACTTTTTTTTATTCTAAAATACCTCCCTAGCTTTTTTAACATTAAAAAATAATGACTGATCAACACAAAACATCCATAACCTCCTGTAATACCCACAAAAATTCAATTTCATCATGTCTCGATTTGCCAGGGATTAGATTACGTTCAAATTCTTGTAGTGGTCTACCTGGTGATCAACAACAATTGAGGGCAGGTTGCCTTGGCGCTGCTGACTTGAATGCTTCTAATTCAGCATTGGACTGTTTGCCTAGTCAAACATTTGCAAAAGATCCATTTTTAGAATCGAGTTTGGCTATACGTAAATTATCTCAAGCTTTTGGTGAGGAAAGTTAAATTTTATTTTTTTAATTTTTAAGAGAATATTTCAAAAAAATAATTAATTCAAGAAGGAAAAATTTAAAAATTTAAAAATATTTTTAAAAAATTCCGCGCAAATTCCTTTTCTAATTTTTTATTCATCTTCCATAAATTCTAAAGCCATTTTTGGCAATTTCTTTTAAAGGTGCCATTTAGGAAAAAATTTTTAAATTATTATTATTCCCACGTATTTCACTTACAAAAACCCGGTATTTATTTTTAAAATTCTTTTTTTTCTATTTAAATTTTTTTCGTGTGTTTCTTTAATGTTCTCTTCACCCTACTTTAAATGTTCCCTTCACCCTACTTTATATGTTCCTTTCACCCTACTTTACATGTTCCTTTCACCCTACTTTAAATGTTCCCTTCACCCTACTTTACATGTTCCTTTCACCCTACTTTACATGTTCCCTTCACCCTACTTTACATGTTCCCTTCACCCTACTTTACATGTTCCCTTCACCCTACTTTACATGTTCCCTTCACCCTACTTTACATGTTCCCTTCACCCTACTTTACATGTTCCCTTCACCCTACTTTACATGTTCCCTTCACCCTACTGTACATGTTCCCTTCACCCTACTTTAAATGTTCCCTTCATCCTACTTTACATGTTCCCTTCACCCTACTTTACATGTTCCCTTCGCTCTACTGACTGACTAAATTTATTGCTAGCTTTCTAATTTATTTTTTAAAGGCAATCAAAAATTTAAAAAAATAGTTAAGGGTCTAACAAGGTTATTTTTTGATTGGAAAAAAGAAAAAAATTATTTGAATATTTAATTTTATATTTTTTAAAGTTCCCTTCCCTCCGCATTACCCTCTCTCCCTATTACTCCTTAAAAAATTTTTTTTCTTCTAGTTTTGTCAATTGCCCCTAAATTGTGTGGATATTTTTTCTTTGTTATAAATCCACAAATTCGTTTAAAAAATAAAAGAAAAATTTTGTTAGCCATCCTTTTTTGACAAATTGCCCGAGTTTTCAATAATTTACTTGAAGCATTGTTTTATTGTTAGTCTGTCAAAAAACGTGTAAATTTATGCAACAATAAAACAAATATTTTTTTAAAAAAAGATTTTTTTATTTATCTAGACTTTAAATTTATTTTTTAAAACAAGTTTTGAATTTATTTTAAAGTCTGCCATGAGTTGATGGAATATGGGGCGTTCTGTCAATGCGCGAGCGATCTAGACTTCTTGAAATAAAATTTTCAAACTTTGGTTGTATTAAGTCATCGAATAATATTTGTTTGTTCAAACCTATACCTTTACGATTTTTATTTTTTTACAAGAAAATGACGAAATTTTCCTGTAAATTACTTGTTGGGGGTAAAAAAGGAAGCGATTAATGTTTATGTTATTATTCTCCTAAGAAATTTGAATATTTTATATTTACTTTATTTTTTCAATTTTTATTGGTCTTTAGGTTCGATTACAAGGTGACCCAAAATAGTATTTCACCTTATCAACTCAAATCCGCCTTTCAGATTCAGCTCCCATCTTTTCAATAAATTTGTCTTCTTATAGTATATCCCATACCTTCACATATCCCTCAAGGCTAACCATATCTTTGTGATCATTGAGAACGTTGACAACCCCAACCCTCCTCTTTCATTCCCTCTCTCCCTTGTCCTTTTACTGGAAAGTAGGGTTGGTCCCCGAGCCTTCGGGGTTGGAAAAGTCGGGGGTCGGGGTTTTCGGGGTTGACAAAGTCGGGGTCGGGGTCGGGGTTGCTCAAATTGTTCGGGGTCGGGGTCGGGGCTGAAAATAATATCGGGGTTCGGGGTCGGGGTCGGGGTCGGGGTTGAAGTGAAAATTTACAAAATCCAGCATTTTTATCCAAAATTACTGTTCAAAATCAACATTTTTATTAAAAAATCAACTTAATCTTCATTATCTTCACTTTCTGTATCTAATTCGTGATAAGTTGAAGGCGCAAGAAGTACTTTATCCAAGTTATCCTTCATAATCCCCAAAATCCCCAAACCCACAAGGTAACTCTTACTCCACCTCTTATGTAAAGGGATTGAGGGGATATGAAGGCATATCAGAGGATTAAGATGGATATAATGGGATTTAGAAGGATTTGACGGGATATCGGGGAGTTGCAAGGATAACGGGAGAAATCCATCTATCCATCAATTTCTCCTAAAGCCTCTGTATCCCTTCATTGAGTCTAGCGCCGCAGGCAAAAATTTTGAGAATTTTGGAAAGCCAAGAGACAGATTTCTTCAATTTTCTGCACCGCAGGCGAAAATTTTGAAAAATTCATGACTAGTTTAAAATTTTTAATATTGTTTCAAGTTTAAAATATTTAAAAA